GCTCCCCCCCCCCCCCGCCCCCTCGCCCGCGCGTGCGCGAACGCCGTCTACCCTCCAGGCGAGCCGGGAGGTGTGGTCTCATGACGAAGAGGAGGTTCTCTGGCGCGCGCAGAAGGAGTACGGCAACGCGTGGAACTACATCTCCAGCCTCTTGCCAGGGCGGTCGGAAAATGCCGTCAAGAACCACTGGTCAGTCATTAGTCCCTTCCGCTTTCTCCCCGGCCGCCCAGCAGGATACTCGATTGCTGCAACTTCTCCTGCACACGTTCCGTGATTTAACTACTGGTGTAGCCGCCGGTTGTCTTGTTTCGGCCTCGTTGGGGTGCAAATACAACCACCCGAGACCATTATTGGCGAAGCGGTCGGGTGAAGCCCGTGTCAGCAAGGTCGAAAGTTGGCCGTATACATTGCATGCATACCCACCTCTTTCAAAGCCCATTGATCACACACGCTTACCAAGGAGGCGCGTTTACTCTTTCCCTTTTCTAGGTACACGCAGATGCGCATGTTCATCGGGCAGAGAGGCAACAACCCTTCCAGCTCGAAGCCTTGCCCGCCGTCCTCCTCGAGGGGGGCCGCAGCCAAGACGGTAGGCAACAAGAGCAGCAGCCGGCAACAGCGGCGAAGGTTCGACGACGCCAAGATCGATCCTACGGCCATGCAGCAGCAGCAGCAGCAGCACTTTGCCGCTAGCGTGCCCGCTCAGGCGGAGGCGGAGGCGGCGGCGGCAACGGCGGCAACAGCAGAAGTCGCCACCAACACCACCGCCGCCGTCAAAGCGGAAGACGTCAACAAAGAGAATTTGGCTCGCGCAGACGCGGTCGCGGCTCTCGGCATGCTGTTCTCGCAGGGGCCCTCCGGTCGCGCTGCCGCTGCCGCTGTGGCGGCGTCCTCCAATCCCGAAGCGGCAGACGGTAGATGATGGCCAAGTCGCCGGTGGTGGTGCAGTGCAGTGATGTTCAGCTGCTTAGTTGAGCTACGACAGTGGTGTGGTTTGCTCCTCTTGTTTCTTGTTTCTCTCTGAGGCCCGAGACGGCGCTCGAACGCGAGCGCGAGCCAGCGCAGTATGTTGTCAGTCGCGGGGTTGGAAAGAAGACATTCTGCTACCTGCAGTCTTTTGTTTGGTTTGTTTACAACGCGCTCTGCTCGCGAGACGGCTATTCGTAAAGCGCGCTCGCCCTCGCCCGCGGGGGGCTGAAGGGCCGGCAGGATGAGCTGTCCGTGTGAGAACACACGTATAAACGTTGTTACGTTTGAGCAACCCGCCCAGCATTGAACCTGACTGCCGCCGTCTTACTGTCATTTTTGTTATTCCCAAGGGGAGGGAGGTAGGGAGGGGGGGGGGGGGG